TCCCCCCTCTCCCCCAGCCCTCCACCCCAGCTCCCGGTACTTTAAAAATAAAAGCCCTGGTGCTCACCAGATGCTGCTGGGTGGGGAGAGTGATCCTCACTGCCTCCACTCCCCCACTGCATGGGGGACTCTGCCATGAGCCCCTCGACCCGCCCCTCACTCCTTCAGCCCCCCCACGGGTGCCCTGCCTGAGCCAGCTCTGGCCCTTTAAGAAAAAACAAACAAACAAGAAAAGCCCCAGGACTCACCCCTCCTGGTGCAGCCTCGGGGCTTTGGGGGCTCATGTAGAGCCCCCCATGCAGCATGGGGCAGTGGGGGAACAGCAGGGATCATCCCTGCCCAGCAGCACCTGGTGAGCACCAGGGCTTTTCTTTTAACAAGTGCCAGGAGCTGGGGCAGCCATTGCTGGGCTGGGAGAGGGGCAGGGGATGGGCCTGGCCTGGCTGATTCGGCCAAATCAAATTGGGACGTTGATTCAAATCACCAAATTGAATCACTGTCCCCCGAATCAGCCAAATCTGAATCCAAAGCAAATACTAGCTGCTTTGCACACGCCTAGCAAGTACCCTTCGAAAGCCAAAACACACATTCACATTCAGTCCTGTAGCTTAAGACTTCCATATTGGGTTATAATTTGACACCCAACATTTTTCAGTAGAAAACACAAGAAATTTTCAATGGTGCAGTGGGGTAGTAAGATCTACATAAATATGTTTTATCTTGGATAAAACCCATAGAAGATCATGGCCAGAAGTCCCAATCAGCTTTGGCAAGTGGCAGAGCTGAGAGCTAAATCTAAGCAAAATAAAATGTAAATTCCCTATACTGGTAATACCCTGCCTATGAGAAAGCTAGCACAAGATGCTGTATGGATTGATCACAATAAAGTTGAGGTTATCAACCAGATACCTGGCCCATAAGACAAGGAAATAGGTACACAGATTCCTTGGATTGTGAACTATATAGGACATTTTGTTTTTACTCCCATTGTCCAAGCTAGTAACCTGAGAGCACTGCTGTGCCAAAGATACCAGTGGACATGGGACGCAATTCTTAATAAAGGGTTTGAGAAACTGAAAGAGTATAATTTAAAAGGTCCAATCCCAAAGTACTGGGATGGTAAACATAAAACTGATTTTGTATGCATCATTGATCAAGTTAGAAAAAATATTTATCCAGGTTCAAATGAATTGTGGACTTTGCTGCCAGTGTTACTTCTTAGAATGAATAGGCAATACAGGGTAATGAGTACAGACGTTTCCTACATCTCATAATTAATTTAAAGGTGAGCTTTCAGTACTAGGTGGAATTAAATGGACCAGAATCTTGATTTCTGAGTTATCACAGAATAATATATTTAAAACAAAAATGATTAAGAACATTTCAAAGGCCAAAAATACCCCCCAGATGTAGGCCAAATATGGGTATAATTGGATGCTGAAACAAAGTTTGTTTTGTTTTTGTAGGAAAAAGTATGGATTTGTTTTTGACTATTATTCTCACTTTCCTGAGAGAGCTTTACTAGAAATTAATCAAATGTTTAGCTGTATTATGCACATCAAATCTATTTTTTCCACATATAATTTACCTGATAAAATAATGTCTTACAACAGACTACACTTTAGTGGGCATGAGTTCTGGCTATATTCAATGAAATATAGGTTTAGACATGTAACTGCTGGTCTCCATTATTCCCAATCCAATGGGCTGATGGAAAATGATGTCAAAATAATAAAGTACCTACTGAAAAAAACTGCAGAGTCCAGATCTGATCCATATTTAGCTCTGTTAAATTATAGAATGGCACCAATGAAGCACGGATTGTTACCAGCTGACATTTTGTTCAACAGAAAAAAGAAAACAAGAATGCCTACGCTGTTAGAAACTGATGTCAGAGTCACTGGGGACTTGCAGAAGTAGAGAGACAGATAAGGCCAAACAAAAAAATCAATATGATTTAGGGTCCCAGGAGCTGCCATCACTTCATGAAAATGATGCTGTATGTCTCTGTGATGGGAAATAACAGTTGCAAACAGCAGTGGTCTCAGAAGAGGTTGTTCCACGGTCATATGGTATTTTCACTCCAGGCAGACTCATGCTAAGGAGGATTAAGTGATCCCCCTTCAAATCCTGGATGAGAAGGGCATAATGGGCACAGGGTCTGATGTTTTGCTACCACCATGCTGGTGGAAAAAGCAGAGCCCCAGGTATGGAAAAAAACAGGTCATATGGACTTGCTGCCTCCTGACAGCAGTGTGCTGGTGTTTAGGGGGAGTCCCACCAGTCCAAGCAATAATGCTGGGCACCTCAGACACTAACTGAACACTGGTATTAAGTTTAGCTGTTAAGTTAGCTGTAAGCATTTATAACAGGGGAGTTGGGGGTGTTAATCATTAACAGGTGTTGGTATGGAAAGGAAGGTAGGTTATGGGGGATGTTGCCATTAAGGGCTGAGCTTCCCAGACATTGGATCTCAGGAGGGTCTTGTTACGTGTGATGAATTGAAACTGGCCAAAGAATAAAGCTGGAACATTTGCAAGTCCCTTTAGCATTGAATGATCCCTTAAAACCATTGGAGTGGCACGGGGGAAAAGAGTAGCTACATGAGGATGAGATTCTCCACTCAGTTGCCAGAACACTGAGTTGAACACAAGCTGAAGACTTCTGTTTTAATTTTAGGTTGCATCCAGATATTTGATTTCCTCATTATAAACAGCATATTCTATCTCTCCATAATAAATGGCAAGCAAGCTACAATCCTGCAAAGATTTATATGCATGCTCAACATTATGCATGTGATTAATCTCAGTGGATTCAGTAATACAATTTGTGTTTTACATCTTTTCAGGGTCAGATTCTACATTGTGTTTGCTGCCATCACCATTTCACCATCTCACAAAGGAATTATAGGAAACTTCCTGGGTTTCTTATAATTAGAAGATACCTCTTGGGGGGTTTTCATGAGTTTTCCAGCCAGTTTTGAAGATACAGGAGTTTGGGACAGTTTGGTATAACGGGTATGAGAATATTTGGATGTTTATTTAAACTGGACCTTTGAGTGCCAAAAAAGCAAAAATCTTAATAGTCAAGTATACCATGGACCAGACACATACCTTTGACATCCTAGAAATCCCTCCTGATGCACTCTCAGAGGCTTTAACTTCATCCCAAATATTTTTTTAAATCAAAAGAATAACTTTCTGGACAAAGCACAGGTACTCATAGCCTGTCAGAAAAATAATCTTTTAATGAGAAATAATAGCATGATATCAGATGAAACATTGTATATTCCTGCATGCAAGAAAGAAGGCAGCAGTATGGGTAGCAGAGAATGGGACCTCTATGATCTGTGCCTGTCTTTTCCATTAGTTAACTGTATGACTGAGAACAAGGTATTTGATCTCCCCATGCCTCCTGTTCATCCATCTGTAAAGTGTAATTAATGATAGTAACTGTAGTAGTATCTTGAGCTTTGCAATGTAGAAACAACCTTTCATTATGTACAGACATTTATATCCAACTATTTACAGTACAAAGGTAACAGTTTGCTGCTGCCTTTGCAATAGGCCTACTGCTGTCCATTGAGCTGGTGATCCTCGAGCACCAGCTTCCCTGGACTGGACATTGTGTGTGGATATCTGACTCTCAACTCCCAACCCAAGCGCTCTACTCCTGACTTGGTTGCAGCCTGGGATCTTAAGGAAATGCTACAAGAATTCACTGAAGACGTATCTCAAGAAAATGGACAATGATATCAAGAGCTGGCTGCTAACCAACTCCAATGGCACCACAAGCTCAACCAAGGAGAAGTCTGCTTCAAGATGAAGCATCTTACCCTCAAAACAGCAAAGAGAAAGCGAAAGAAGGAAAAGGAGAGAAATCCTGGCCTATGGCCTACTCTCCCCTGTGGAAAGACCTGAAGGTCTGCGGATGGATCTGTAGTTCGTTCTGTAGTTCGTTCAAGGATTGGATTCTTAAGTCACCTCAAGACCCATCAATGAGCCATAGTAGAGATCATCTTTGAATTGAGGGTTAGCCTGCAACAAGTTCAAGTCCTGTTCTCCCACCCAGAAATTCCTGCTGACCACAGCAAGAGTCTCGCGGGATAACACACTTCTTGGACAATGTGTGAGACCAGGGACATTTACTCCAAGACACAGTAACCTGCTTTGCTGGGGTGTTGGGAGGCTTTGCTAACATTTGCAGAGCCCTCAGATCTCTGATACAAAGTTTTATGCAGGTGGTTAGTTCATGCACCAGTATTATGGGAAACGATAATGATGAACCACATGAGGAAAGGAAATACAGAAAAAAATACTGGTTCTGTAGGAATGTGTTAGACTAGTTTCTCAGTGTAGTACCAAATATTCTTCAAAGATCCTTAAGTGGCAGCTCATTTGAAAAATCTATATATTCATTTTCCTGTTTTGTATTATGTTATATGGAATTTTTTCTCATTAGCTGTTACATTTCCATATAGCAAATCTTTAGGGAGGTATGTATATATCGCTACGCATATAAGCAACACTAAATACGGCTTTATATTTCCTGACTCTTAGCGGAATTGGACAATGTTTAAAAGTTACGAAGGGCACCTGTGGCCGATTAATGTCAGTTCTCATTTCATCCTCTGGAGGATATTCACACATTGCACCCCAAGGGGTGCATTAACATTCATAGCTCCTCCAGGGGAAGAAACATATGGAGGCTCCACAGGGACAAACTTCATGATCTGAATTGCCAATCAGTGCATGTCTGAGCCTCAGCTGTGGAAAATCTTGCAGATAACAAGACTTCATGCTTCCACAATTCTCATTTTAATCTGTCAGTTACTAAATATGGTTTCAGTATTGCTCAAGTCAGTAAAAGACCTAGAACACTACCTTATTATAGAGAGGTGGTAGCCTCTGCATATATACAGTGCAGCAGCTTCCATTATAACAATCTGTTTTGTTTTCCTTATAACTTTGACCTGTAGAATTGGATTGGCCTGAAAACTGAAATGTTTACTCTGAAAGCAGAGGAGAACCTTTCTTCTTAGTTTGATGAAAATTTGTCAACTGTTTCTTTTTGAATCATTTAAATATATCACCTTGATCTTAGGTTTTGATTTCATTTCCCTCTATCTCAAGAAATTGATTGTTGTTGTTCCCATGCACTTTGCATATAGCCATATATCCTTGAAAATTATGGCTGTATATAAAGAATATATGCTGCAATTAAAGCAAAATTATTACCTGGTGCTGTGGTAGGATATTTTTCTGCTCCAGTAGATTCCAATGAGAGATTTCCCATATACTCCACTGTGTGTATGGCTGGGCACTTAAGATACTGTAATACTTGCCTATAGAAATCAAAGAATCTGTCAGAACATGGCAGGGTAACAAGTCCACACAAACACACCTAGCACTTTATTTTGTCCCCTGCCCTCCCAATTAAAGAAAATAACACAATATCAAAGCAAGGCAACACCTTAACAGTAAGATAAACATATGGCTCCACCTTCAGGTGGAGGTACTTTCTACATGGGCCATTAGGTATTTATCTCCCATTGATTTCAATGGC